GTAGAAAGAAATCCATCCCCTCATCTACCCTACACAGTCATTCTAACCCCAAATGTACCCCCACACGGTCAATCTAACCTGAGGTCTACCCCCACACAGCATCAAGAGTATACCACCACTGGCGTTCATGGACCTACACTCGCTGGAGTGGTTAAAACTCTCTCACAACGAAATGACTCACCTAACAGAAGATGCTGTCCAGCCTATACTGGACACTCTCACCATGATCGACGTCTCTAGTAAGTATCTCTCTCTCTCTCTCTCTCTCTCTCTCTCTCTCTCTCTCTCTCTCTCTCTCTCTCTCTCTCTCTCTCTCTCTCTCTCTCTCTCTCTCTCTCTCTCTCTCTCTCATGTACTTCCTCTCTTCCCTCAAATCTACCTTCTTATTTTCCTTTTTATCTACTGATCTACCTCTTTCCTTTCCCTCTTATCCACCTTCCTCCCTTCCCTCTTATCTGCTTTTGTACCTCCCTCCCTCCCGCCCTTCCTCTCTCTCTCTCTCCCTCCCGCCCTTCCTCTCTCTCTCTCTCTCCCTCCCTCCCCCTCTTATCTACCTCCCTACATTCCCTTTATTCCGTCCCCCTCCCTTGTCTCTCCCCCTTCTACTGTCTCCCTCCTTCCCCTCTTCCCTATTTCCCATCAATATCTACCTCTCATCTCTGCCCATCCCTCTCACTCCTGCCTGTCTCCCTCCCTCAGACAACCCACTGGAGTGTAGCTGTGACTTGCTCTGGCTTCGCAAGTGGCTTAGCAACCCCAACAACCAGGACAACATGGTGTCGCAGGATGATCATATTTGTGTCACTAAGGAACGGAAGTCCCACGTTATCTCCAACCTGCCTTTCAAGGAGTTCAACTGCCCCATCTCCCTGCCCACCGAGGTAAGGGCACTCTCGAACCTCAAGGGTTTAGGTCCTTAGGGATGGGGGGTTTAAAACCTCTTTTTCCACTGTATAGGGTCCTTTGGGTTGAGGAGACAGGGGTTGTGGATGGATTTATAGGAGGTTACAGTAAGGCAATGTATGTTCCTTTGGGTTGATGAAACAATGGTTGTAGGTTCAAGTGAGTTTCAGTTACTTGATGTAGGTTCCTTTGGGTTGATGACACGGAAATGTTTGGGTGGATTTAAGAGGTTAAACAGGTTGGACTATGAGTGGATGTGGTTGGTTGTGTACCTGCCTAGCATAGGTCAGTAAACCTGCTGCACTTCTCCACACCTCTGTATGATGTTTCTGGGATAGGTGACGTCAGGTGAGTGCTGCAAGAACTGAGAGGGTACCTAATTATACCCTTTGATAGGCTAGGTGCCTACCTCACCTAGCTAGCTATCTCACTAAGCCAGGTACCTACCACACCTAGCTAGCTTCCCTACTAAGCTAAGTCCTTACCTACCTAGCTACCTAGGTGTCTCTCCTAAGCATGCTAGGACTCCCGCCTCGCCGTGCTAGGCGCCGACCTCTCGACCAATCATAATGTGGGAAAATCACAATTGTGTACTTACATAAGATCACAAAAACAACTAATTAAGAATAATTAAATAACAGACACTAATTTATTCTGTAATTAAAAAAAAATCTTTCCCCGGAGAAATAAATACACTTGTGACGCCTAGAGGAAAAATCAAACATTCACGGAGAAACTAATGGGATTTTTCTCGACCTCCAACTGAGGTCCTCTTCAGCTGATTGTCGAAATATACAGACAATCTGTTACAGGTGTTTTATCGTCCACATGTGGATTTATTCTCAGTGTTCACAAGTGTTACAATTGACAACAAATGTAACAAGTAAATGTAACACTAGTGACATCATGGTGCCTGATAGATAGTTGATGGCCCTGTGCCATGGTGCCTGATAGATAGTTGATGGCCCTGTGCCATGGTGTATGATAGATAGTTGATGGCCCTGTGCCATGGTGCCTGATAGATAGTTGATGGCCCTGTGCCATGGTGTATGATAGATAGTTGATGGCCCTGTGCCATGGTGCCTGATAGATAGTTGATGGCCCTGTGCCATGGTGTATGATAGATAGTTGATGGCCCTGTGCCATGGTGCCTGATAGATAGTTGATGGCCCTGTGCCATGGTGTATGATAGATAGTTGATGGCCCTGTGCCATGGTGCCTGATAGATAGTTGATGGCCCTGTGCCATGGTGTATGATAGATAGTTGATGGCCCTGTGCCATGGTGTATGATAGATAGTTGATGGCCCTGTGCCATGGTGTATGATAGATAGTTGATGGCCCTGTGCCATGGTGCCTGATAGATAGTTGATGGCCCTGTGCCATGGTGTATGATAGATAGTTGATGGCCCTGTGCCATGGTGTATGATAGATAGTTGATGGCCCTGTGCCATGGTGCCCGATAGATAGTTGATGGCCCTGTGTCATGGTGCCTGATAGATAGTTGATGGCCCTGTGCCATGGTGTATGATAGATAGTTGATGGTCCTGTGCCATGGTGCCCGATAGATAGTTGATGGCCCTGTGTCATGGTGCCTGA